ATATTTTCCGCTATTGATGAGGAATTCGCAAGGGCAACATTCTTAAGCGCAGCCGAAATTTCTTCTCCGGTGAAAGGCCGAGAGTGCTCAGTTTCTGTAGATTCAGATTTAGGGGATCATAGTTGTTTTTTTACCCTTTTTGTATGAGCTTTGTCTCTTGGTGCTCTTGATGTCGCCACAATGTTAGAGGCCACTGAATCTGACCCTATGGGGGGTTTTTGTTTTGGAGGAGGGTTTCCACCTCCAAGTTTTCTAATTAGGGACCATGCTTTCCGGCTTGATGCTTGAAAGTTTAGATTTTCGACAGTTTCAGTCCATTTTTCTTGTCTGGCTGCATTTAAGCTGTGGAGTAACTGATCTGCGATTTCCTGGTCGCCACTTTTGAGAAATTTTTCCTATAATGTCTCACTGTATTGGATCCCCCCGGAAATGTACTCTTTCCGAAATCCTCTTGGTATGCAGTTTTTAGCCGTGCTGATCAGTGCTCCAGCAAACGGGTGTAGTTTTTGCTAGTAGGTGGAATTCATCCTAGGCATTATCTAGTTCCTGTGGGATTTTTTCCAATCGGCCGGCTTAAAGTTCCATCTTGGTTTTGGGATAGATATTATTAAAGGGATTTGTATTCCGACCTCCATAATAATTGGGCGATGCTGACTGTGAGGAAATTCTGAGAGCACTTTTCTGATAGCTGCCAAAGGAGTATGGTTAAAGTCTGTTGAGACAATGCATAGGTCAGAGTTATATTCCCTATTCCATGCAGCTGATTTAAATGAGCCTTTGTCTTCAGCATCAAAGATTAGGTATAGGTGTTCGTCTTCGGCCCACCTGACTAGGGCATCCCGGTTGGTATCGTTTTCTCTGTATTTCCACCGCTTGTGGTGGCTGTTGAAGTTTCCTAGATATACAGGGTGATTCAAAATTGGCGTCATTCCTTTTAAGGGGTGGTAGAGGCTCCCTTGGGGAGTACCAGAAAAATATTGATGGATATTGATTGATATTGATATTGATTGGTTAATACCTAGAAGATATTAACAGTGGAAGATCGAATTTCAACTTTGTTATTAAGAATTATTTTGAAAAAATCCCACGTTGGATTGGCAGCCTATTGGAATACTTAAGCATTCAAAAAGAA